AGGGATTCGGGGTTAGGGTTTAAGGTTTAGGGTTTAGGGATTCGGGTTTAGGGTTTAGGGTTTAAGGTTTAGGGTTCAGGGATTCGGGTTTAGGGTTTAGGGTTTTAGGGTTTTATGGTTTTAGGGTTTTGGGGTTTTAGGGTTGTAGGGGTTTAGGGTTTTAGGGTTTCGGGCACCTGTGCTCGTCTTGTCAAGCCTCGGGCTTCTGCCTGCGCTGCCTGCCCATGGGCGCAGCCCCTTAAAATCGGGCAGCGCACGCCTGCCCTTGTCCTCATGGGATTTATCCCGTGCTAGCCGAACTAGCCCTTCGCGGAGCAGAAAGAGCCGAACGCCAGTGCCGCAGACCCCACCTGATTTGGCGGTGTTTTGCGTAATTTTGCGTTTTTTCCCGAAAGCATTGCGAAGGGTTTTCCGATAAAATCATTGCGTTCTGCACAGCTAAATTGCATAGGAAAAGTGCACGAGCATCACTATATATAGTATCTTGCACGAGCACCACATGCACAGGGGAGAGTGCTGAGTGAAGTGCACGAGCATGACATGCATAGGGGAGAGTTGTGAAGTGCACGAGCATGACATGCACAGGGGAGAGTTGTGAAGTGCACGAGCATGACATGCATAGGGGAGAGCGCTGAGTGAAGTGCATGGGGTCATGCGTAGGGTGAGTGCAGAGAGAAGTGCATAGCGGCATGCATAGGGAGTGCGCTCAGAGAAGTGCATAGAGACATGCATAGGGAGAGTGCTCAGAGAAATTCATAGGGTCATGCATAGGGGAGAGTGCTGAGTCAAGTGCATGGGGTCATGCGTAGGGAGAGTGCAGAGAGAAGTGCATAGGGGCTTGCATAGGGAGAGTGCTCAGAGAAGCGCAGAGAGACATGCATAGGGGCATGCATAGGTGAAGTGCAGAGCAAATGCACAGAGATCTTGCGTGCCTTCTTGCACGAGCATCACTAGACATAGTATCTTGCACGAGCATCACATGCATAGGTAAAGCGAGCACCTCACCCCTTCATGTTTTCAATCCCAATAACAGAAACCTCCTAAACTTTGGGAATTGAATGCATATTTAGAGCATTGTCCACAGGTTTCGTTTGCCCGCTGCTTCTGATCTCGACTAAAGCTTCCTTCGCATGATCGTATTTTTGGCCTCTGATGCAGAGACCCGGGGAAGTGGGTCCCCTTTTCGGACTCTCAAGGAGGACCCCATTCCGGGTTTCGCTTTGGGCCCCGAAATTATTGGACCCCAAAATGGGCCGTAACACGTGAAAAAAAGCTTCCAATTTGTGGAGACACGCCGAGTACCAAGCGCTCGCTTAAGACGTGCTGACGCCGAAAATCGAAGCTCTAATTCGCCTGAATTCCCTGTCCATAGGGTGCCTAAAATGTCACTGAAGCGGCGCTGAAGCCTAAGTTCCATGGGGCCTGAAGTTAAAAACCTCCACGTAAAAAAGCCCTTGAAGCCTTCGTTTAACCGGGGCAGCCTAACGTGGCTTAAAACTCGCTGAAGCCTAAATTCCACCTCAGGTGCAGGAGCATGCCACCTTAAACCTGCCTAAAATGTCCCTGAGGCATTCCGCGTTGACTTCGGTCCGTGGCCTGAAGTCCAAAATGCCCTTAAAGCCTAGATTCGGCGTTGAAGCCTGAATCACCCCCCAAAATGGGCCTGAAAATTAATTTTGGCGCGGGCCTGAATCCTTAATGTCCCTGAAGCCTACATTGTCGCTGAATCCGGTCTGAAGCCCAAATCCGGTTCTTTTCCTCTGGGCCCCTAAACGTTCAAAGATGACAGTTTCACATCGTATGTGTTGCGCTGCAACGTCTCCAGGGCAACCTGCTGGCTGGCCCGCCCTGTATTTGGGGGTTCACGGCAAACCCCATTTGCCAACACAATACTTGCAAAACGGGTTTGGAAAGGACTCCATTTGCTAAAATCGAAACTCCTCTTCATGGCTTGATGTTCTTGATGAAGCAAGCTTTTCACAAGTCCTCTTCATGGCAACGCAAGCTTGCACTGATTGAAACATACATTTTTAAAAAAACGGAGGTTTGGAGGGCGCGCAACACCCCATTGAAAACTCAATGGTTGCTCGATGGGTTTGGAATTCATGACGCAGTCCCCGCCTTTTGCAAACAGCATGCTAACGCGACGGGTTTTCGCACCCCTTCCACCCACATGTGCGAACACAATTCTCGCATGACAGGTCTGGTAAGGATTCATATATGTGTAAATGCACGTCCTCTTCATGGCTGCCAACTGCGCAGACCGACACCCCATCTGCGAACAGAGTGCTAGCTAGCACGGCGGGTTTGGAAAGGATTCGTATGGTTTACAACGCAACTCTTCTTCATTGAAAGGCTGATTGATGTTCTTTAGCAAGCCTGCACTGGTACAAAGAAGAAGGGGGGTTGGGAGGGGACTTCGCTATGGCCGGATGTTGTTACAAAGCAAGCTTGCACGGGCACAAAAGCAGGGGGTTGGGGGACGAAGGCGGTGGCGGTGGGGGTTGGGGCACAGCCCCCCCCCCCCATTTGCAGACACAATGCCTGCCTAACCCTGTTATTTTCAAGCCACGCAAGCTTGCGTTGCAAAAACAAATGGTGCCATGAAGTGGACTTGCACTAAGCTTGCTTTGCAGGGCAGGAAACCCCCGCCCCCTCCCTCCCTCTCTACGAAAGGCAGCAGGCGCTGCATTCTTGGAGATGGCCGCCTCAGGCTCACGCAGCCCGAGCCACACCACCGGCCTCCCCAGCACCCAGTCTCTGCAGCACTGCCCTAGCATTTTCGCGCTGCAAACAGACGCTCAGGCTCTGCTGTATCTGCTCAGCCGAAATCCCGACCTGCTCGTCGAAGACCGCGCCCGCCCCACCCCTGCTTTCTTACGTGTTTTCAAGCCGCGCAAGCTTCGCCAGTGTTCAGGTACTCTGGAAAGCGAAGGCGAAGGCACATGAAGGCACGCATGCCAGAGTTTGCAGCAAAAATCACTGGACCGCCAAACTGCAGCTTTAGGAGATTTTTGGGAGTTTGACCCTCTGCCATGCTGCCCCAAATCCGATGGTCCATCCCTTTCGACTTCGGAAAATATGGACATGTGGGACGCTTCTGCGTTCTGCCCGAAACCCTCCAGAGCGTGGACTTTCGGGACCGAGGCGGTCGGCAAACAGCATTTACGAAATCCTCGGGGAGTTAGGCTTGATTTTAGGGCTATTTGGCCATTCTAGAGGATAAATAAAGCAACGGGCGGGGCCAGCAAAGATCCCAAAAGAACCTTCTCATTGGCCCTTGCACAGTAATCGTGTCCCGCGCACAGCTTGGATGCCCTCTGTTCTCAGTATATTCCGAGTGCGAGTACACTACGAGCACCGGGTACACTACGAGTACTCCTGTACCATCTATATGCGCCGGAGGCATTTTCAGGGGATGCAAAAACTACCAGCTGCATGCGATTGAATCATGCCTCCGTTTGTCCAAGAAAGCCAAAAGCCACGGCATATCCTTCGGTTGTTCTCTTCATGTCTTCGGCCAAGGCCGGCCCGCCCTTGATGCCAACCAGCGCATAAGCGCCTCTCCACGAAAGACCTCTGGGGAATCAACAGAACCCTCAGGATTGGAGGCAAGTTGCTGGCTACATGCTGAGGGTGCTGCCGTCGATCATGGTTGCTCCGCAGGTTTTGATCGCTGCTTTCGCCGTGTCTGTAAGATTGGCGGAGGCCTCTCCATATCAGGCAATCACATTCGCTCACACATTCTCAGACTCCATCGGTCGTGAGAAAACGAAGATGCCCGCTGCCTCGTCAAGCGCACCGATCAAAACCATGGACCCTTTCTCGATGCCATGGATGTACGCGGCCAGCGCGTCAGAACCACTCGTCATGGTGTCGAAAGCCGCCTGAATCATGTTTCTCACATTTGCGCATCTGCATGCGTCCAGGGGCTCCACAAAGCGTGCTCCTTTTGAAGACAAACTGCTGAGTCTACGAGGGTCCCGTCCGGCCGCACTGTGACTACCGTGAGACCGCGACCTTGCCTCAGCAATGATTCAACGACTCATTACCAGGACTACAACGATTACAACGATCGCAATGTCCAAAGGTACGCTTCATGTCTGGCTCTCCAAGAAATTCCAAGGCGTCAATGACTTTCTTCTCCCAAGCACTGGAAGCACAAACCACAGCGATGTGCCCAGCTTGGGCAAACTTGCATGTCAGAGTGGCCCAGAGTAGAAGTTCATGCCGTCTGCAACGAAAACAGCTTCATTGCCATCCGACCATCCAGCACTTCGCCTAAGTAATTGGGATGTAACAGTTTGCATGCTATGTCATGGAACATGAAAAAGGCGGCCTAATTATGCACGGAAGGACTATGTCTCACCGCGTCACACGCCAACGACCGCCACACCTTCCGCAGCCGCAGCGGCTGCGCAGCAGTCACTTTCATCGGTGCTTCTCATGCTCCTGAGAGCGCATCTGGCGTGTGGCAGGGATGATGTGGAACCGCTCGGTCTACTTGCAGACAGGAGACCACATACTGTCGCGTTTTAGGATCAAGCCCGCGGGGCAGTTCAGCATAGCGCCTGGGCCAAGCCATTGAAAGAAACGACCTGCTCTGCAAGGAAACGACCATTTGGATCCAATGTGGGTACTGAGAAGCGGCAAAAACTCCGAATGATGAGAACCCCGGTGACCACGAGCTCACCGCTCATCCTTTCCCTCCCCTGACGGTAATGCTTGTGTGGACGATGTCGCCTGAGCACCCGAATTTCAATGCCTGCCGCACCTGAGCCGGTGCAACACATCCGACCCCACCTGAACCAGCAAAGGAATCAGGTCGAAGGAAATTGCACAACGACGAATGACCAATCTAAGGACCTGGTTGAAAATGGGCTGCTGATTCATGCAGTCTCAATGCCTTGGAGCTGAAGCTCTTGATGGTTGATTGCTTGTTTCCGGTTTGCAGAATCAGGCATGCCCAAGGCACACATTGACAGCACACGTGCATTATAGCTGTGCCCTCCCTAATTAGTGCCGGCACAAAACACCTCTGCAGCTGGCGTTTCGCACGCCATGCATTGAGAACACACTGCAGAATTGTGCTTTGCACAGGCCACAATATTCGTTAACACATAATTAGAAGGTACTACAAACTCAAGTGACTCAAGTGTGGGGCTCCAGCTGACAGGCAGGGAAAAGACAATGGGGACTGGGCCTTTTCAAGCCGCTGCAGTCTCCGCCCAAGACGGGCCGGCCCATGCTCGGACAGTGTTGGACCGTCAGTGACATGACATCAGTGACTCATCCGTCGCTTCGGAGTGCAGTCTTGAGGCTCTTCAGAGTGCAGGAACGTGTTCCGCACCTGAAATGGCAACTCGTCATGAATGATGGGCCCAACGTCAGCTTCCACGAAGCGTGCTTCGCAGCGGTCTGAGATGCTCGGCGCATGCCGCTTCGTTGCAACCATCCGACTGTAGGCCAATCTCTGGTAGCCCCAAGCTTCTTCAAAGCGAGATGCCACAAGCTCCCACTGTGAAGTCCTCACCGCAGCTTGCTAGAAGACCAGCGACTTTCCATCCATGCTATCGAAGACCTGGATTTCTGCACCAATTCTCTTCATGAAACTGCGAAGGTAGTCCGCAAAGGAGAAGTTCGTTGACTGAAGTGGGTGAGCCCCGGTTCTGAACAAAGGCTCCACTTCGGAATCAAGCTCTACTTGCCCCCCCCCATGAATACTTCGCATGGGACAAGCGGCCACCCGCCTTGGCATGTGCGCAAAGAAAGCAAGCGGTAAAGCTTGCGATCCGCCTCCTGCAGTGACGTCGTCAAGCACGTAGCGACCAAGAGGTGTCATGCTGAACTGCGACATAGCGCCCTGCAAGACCATAGCAGTAGCCCAAGAAGCAACGTCTTCCGTGAACAAACCCACCTGGAGCCTTGTCATGTGCATCGGCTTCTAAGGCTCTGGTAGCAAGACTCACGTGAAGTGTCTGTACACCGGAACATCTAAGCCTCTTCAAAAGGGACCGCTATGATCAAGGCTGGTTCCACGGGGAAGTTGCGCCATGTCAGGAGGCGTTCCGTGCGCTCTGGCCCCAGTGCCGGCTACCGAATCTGGGGCTGCGAGGGCACCCACGAGTGCACCAACTTGCTTCATTTCATCTAATAAGTCATTGCACTCGCTATCATGCCGGCTGGTACGCAGTTCTTTCCTGTTGCAGAAGATCTCTGGGCGAGGCATGTCGGCGAGAGTGAAGAGGTTTACGTTGGGCGGCATCAGAACCTTGTAGGGAAGGCGTAACAAGCAAGGTCCATCAAGTCTTTTGAAGGACATGTCTACGCCAGCATCATTCCCCAGAATTTGTCATTGGTCACTGAGCAGTTCCTTAGCTCCTCGTCGCAAAAGCTCGTCGTTAACTGCCATTGCGAGAACACGATAGAGGACGTTTAGGCCAGCTACAGGGACTACAGGGTCTACAGAAACGTTAAAACCAACTAGTCATGGAAGCCGCGGATGAACAAAACAACGACCAGATCCCTGGTATAGAGGTAGCATCAGGGACCTTGCCTGTCCCGCAGTGTGAACAACCCGTTTCCAATCTCTTCCAGCTAATGCCACGTCCGATGCAGCCCGACCTAACGTCGAGTTGCGCCACGAACGATCTGCTCAAACTGGCGTAGGGCTGGCAATGAGGCTTTTCTTAGATCGCATGATTTACCAATCGGGTTGGATTGACTTATGGGGCTCGGCTTTGGCCTGGTCAGAGTGGAGATGCACAAGCAAGGAACAATCCAATCGCTCCTTCTGGGATTGTCGCCGAAAATAGAGCTGGCTGACAGCCGGTAACCCGCGAAAATGCGCGGAATAATATGAACACGTGCAATATTATGACGAAGCATTAAGTGAGCGTACGTGTCGTTCATGCACTCACTTCGATCCTGCGGTTTTACTATTGCTTTATTACTGTTGATCACTCATTCACCCGGGATAGAATATCATAATAAAATCCCGTGAACAGAGTGAACGACGCGACATGAAATCTGAGAACCTCCACTTCGGCTGAGTTGCAAAAAGGACTGTGACTAGCCGTCGTGGTCGCCACGGTCTCCTGCAAGCACATGAGAGCCAGAGTAATGAAAGGATTGGCATTGCCTGATTTGTGACGGCAGGACCTGCAGCCTTGCAACTGTCCAAATCTGGTGCCCGCAGACAAGCATTACAATCACTACTTGAGAGCAGGGCGGACGAAAGNNGGGGGGGGGGGGGAATTGCAAAAAGGTTGGTTCTGGAATGGGGTCTGGGGTCATATATAGGGTTGGTTCTGGGTCATGCCCACCTTCTTGTGTCGCGCCTCTCTCGTTTCTTCCTCTCGTCCCCTCCTTCGTTTTTATCATTATCTTCACCCCATCCATTATCATGTTCTTGCCTGCTCGTTCATTCTATCCTTTTCCTCCATCTTTCTCATCGTCTTCATCGTCGCCTCTCCCGTTTTCCTCCCCGCATCTCATTTAAGCAGTTTTCATACCGTTTTGCTTTCGTTCATTATCTCCTCCTCTGTCGTTTTCATAAATGATAAAATCGTCTCTTCTGCTTTCCCGGGCGTGCTCGTCTCTTTCGCTTTATTCAGGAACTTTCTAAAATATTCATTTTTTGTATGATTACCTTATTCATTCGAATATACCTTATTTCGGTTATGTCATTGCTGTTAAAAAGGGTGGGAAGGGTAGCGAGTGGGCATACCATAGTCGGTTATAAAGATACTTCAACAATCATATTATATAAAATATGATATTATGGTTATTAGTTATTATTCAGAAGTGTGGTGTTAAAATAGGACTGCTTTTGAGGTCATATGGAATATGTGTTGGATATGATGTGGTCGGGAACATGCGATTTAGGACATATGTTATAAAAGAGATGTGGTTTGGAGCATGTGATTTAGAGCATAGGGGTATGTGGTTTGGAGCATATTTAATCGTTTCTTAGTCATTTTGGTGTATGCGGTTTGGAGTATAGGGGTATGTGGTTTGGAGCATATTAAGTCATTTTCTCATCATTTTGGGGTATGTGGTTTGGAGCATAGGGGTATGTGGTTTGGAGCATAGGTGTATGTGGTTTGGAGCAGAGGGGTCTTTGAATGCTTGTCGCTTCTATTATGTAATGTCATAAAATATTTTGAAGTATCACACTTACAAACAGGACAAGTAACTTTAACTCGCTTCTCTTCCAATATCTTTTCTTTGTTTCGTTGATAGTAGGTTTTTCCGTCTTCTTTGTCTATGTAATATGCCTCACGCTTTTGTTCATTAATCTCTCTATTATCCAATGTGTATTCTTCTTAAACTCTACCTGCGATTAGTTTATTTACTTAATGCAATGTCCTTCTCTGCGTAGCAATTCATTCTTACATTCAAAGGCAAAATTTTCAATCAGTTTTATTTTTCAATTTTGTAAACCAAACTCTTCAAACAGTCTGAACGAAGATGTAAGATTAACAGGGTTTCTCAAATAAGCATTATGCTTTTGTCTATGATGCGCCATTCTTTTACTGAACTGTTCACAGGTGCGTCCTATGTAGCATTTGTTGTATCCAATATCTACGATTTTAAGATTTCCGTAAACCATTCCACAACCACCGGTAAAACATTACACCGGGCTTCGTGAAATCATCACACCGCGCTTCGTGTAAACATTACACACTACACCGTGCTTCGTGAAAAAATTACACCGTGCCTCGTGTAATCAGTGTAGTCATGATGCGTCATTTTTTGCCGTGTACTCGTTAAACTGAATATGGTTTAATAACACGCACCAGCACCAGCACCACCAGCGCCACCGCCCCAGCACAACCCGCCACACCCAGCACAGGAGCGACACAAGGGTGCGTGGCAAAAACTACTTAAAGAGATGCCACCTTATGCCTCAATGGCAGAGCAGGACGCCCTGAAAACCGTAATGAGGTATGCATTAGGTAGTGGATTAGGTAATATTAAAACAAATAACAACGGAAAGAAATTGAAACAAATAACGATTGATGGTTTTGATTTTAAATACCTCAACAATTGATCCCCATTCAAC